AAAAAATCTAAATACATGGTTAGATTCAGCATATCAGAGAACCCCATATATTCAATTTTTGTTGAAATCAAACAAAGTTTAATTTTGGACCCCGATTTGGACCAACTTGAAAACTGGGCCCATAATAAAAAATCTAAATACATGTTTAGATTCAGCATATCAAAGTACCCTAAAAATTCAATTTTTGTTAAAATCAAACTAAGTTTAATTTTGGACCCTTTTGACCTTTATGTAGACCAATTTGAAAACGGAACCAAAAATTAAGAATCTAAATACACGGTTAGATTCGGCATATCAAAGAACCCCAATAATTCAATTTTTGATGAAATCAAACAAAGTTAAATTTTGGACCCTTTGGACCTCAATGTGGACCAATTTAAAAACGGGGCCCAAAATCCAAAAACTTAATACACGGTTAGATTCAGCATATTAAAGAACCCCAAGAATTCAAGAATAAAACCCCATTGAAATTGATCAAGAAATAAGCAATTTATACGAAGTATCTTCTTTTGCACAATACTGTGCAATTGAATATTTCTTGCTATTGTGCAATACTGTACAATTGACAATTTCTTGCTATTGCGCAATATTGTGCTATTGGATATTTCTTGCTATTGCGCAATACTGTGCAATTGAAGATTTCTTGCTATTGCGCAATACTGTGCAATTGAAGATTTCTTGCAATTGTGCAATACTGTGCAATTGAAAATTTCTTGCTATTGCACAATACTTATTATATAATAATTTACACATCCTGTTTGGTGTGTATCTCCTACCATATCATTATTATTTGCTTTTAAATATTAATCAGAAATACCCAACTTAAAATGGAAAATTTTAAAAGAAAAAAAAAAGGAAAAAAAGAAAAAAAAAGAAAAAAAAAATCCCCCCCCCAATTTTTTTGAACCCCCTTATGATTCATCACCCCCAAACTCAATCCCAGCCTTCCCTTTGTGGTATGGTTCCTTGCAGTACAATTTCAGAGAGATCCATACACTTGAACATAAGTTATTGTCTGGAAACTAGAAAAATGCTTATTTTTGGCCCCTTTTTGGCCCCCAATTCCTAAACGTTTCGGGCAATTACCCCCAAACTCAATTCCAGCTTTCCCTTTGTGATATGGAACCTTGTAGTACAATTTCAGAAATATCCAAACACTTACACACAAGTTATTGTCATGAAACTAGAAAAATGCTTGTTTTTTGCCCCTTTTTTGGCCCCTAATTCCTAACATTTTGAGGCAATTACCCCCAAAATCAATTACAGCCTTCCCTTTGTGATATGGAACCTTGTGGTACAATGTCAGAGAGATCCATACACTTACACACAAGTTATTGTCTGGAAGTTACAAAAATGCTTATTTTTGGCCCCTTTTTGGCCCCTAATTCCTTAACTGTTGGTACCATAACCCCCAAAATCAATCCCCACCTTCCTTTTGTGGTATTGAACCTTATGGTAAAATTTCATGGAGATCCATTCACTTAAACTAAAGTTAGAGTGCGAAAACCAATGTGTCTTCGGACGACGCCGGACGACGCCAGACGACGACGACGACGACGACGACGACGACGACGACGCCAACGTCATACCAATATACGACCAAAAAATTTTCAATTTTTGCGGTCGTATAAAAATGACTCTAAGGGATTTTGGAAGACACTTAAAAAATATTCTGGCTACAAAAAAGACAATCCCTCTATCAGTATTGAAGCATTTCATGAATATTTTAAAAACATGAATGCAAGTGACGAAGAAGATCTTGATGGCATTGACATCAATGCGTTGTGTAGTGATCCAATTTATAATGAAATTTTAAATGGCGTCATTACAGAACAAGAGGTTGTGGATGCCATTAAGAACTTGAAACATGGTAAAGCCTCTGGTACTGACAGGATACTGAATGAGTTTTTGAAAAACTCTCCACCATTTTTTGATATGTATTTACACTAAACTATTTAATGTGATATTGGATACAGGTATTATACCTGAAACTTGGACAGCAGGAATAATTATACCAGTTTTTAAAAATAAAGGTTGTCCAAAGGATCCAGATAATTATAGAGCTATAACATTAATTAGTTGTATAGGGAAATTATTTACTTCCATAATCAATACTCGATTGAATTTTTTTGCAAATGAAATTTCACTTAAACATGAAAATCAGGCTGGTTTTAGAAAGGGGTATTCAACTGTAGACAATATTTTTGTATTTCATGCACTCATAGAGCTGTATTTCTCATTTGGCAAAAAACTTTTTTGTACTTTTGTAGACTTTCGGAAAGCATTTGATACGGTATCAAGATCTGGTTTATGGGGAAAACTTCAATTGAGTAATATCAAAGGGAAGTGCTTCAAAGTTATTTTTAATATGTACCAAGGAATCAAATCATGTGTAAAATATAATGGATGTCAGTCAGATTTTTTCCCCTGTTTAGCAGGTGTAAGACAGGGGGAGAATTTATCGCCTTTTTTGTTTTCAATTTTTCTTAATGACTTAGAAGACTACTTTAAGAGTCTAGATGGGATTCCACTAGAAACTGTAAAAGAGAAGTTTCAAAGTGAATTGCACATATTTTTTGAATTATTTGTTATATTATATGCAGATGATACTGTAATTTTATCTGAAACAGAAGAAGGTATGCAGCGATCACTAAACATTTTTCAGTTATATTGTGAAAAGTGGAAATTAGAAGTAAATTTAAATAAAACAAAGGTTATGATTTTTAGAAAGAGGAAAAGTAAAAAGAAATTTAAATTTTTATTACAAGACAAAGAACTTGAGATTGTTGAAAAATTTTCTTATTTAGGTGTTATCTTTAAATATAACGGTACTTTTTTAGATACCAAAAAGAAACTTATTGATCAAGCACAAAAATCGATGCATTTTATACATAGAATTGTTAGAAACGAAAACATTCCTATAGATTTGCAACTGAAATTATTTGATTCCATGATAGAACCAATTCTTTTATATGGTTCTGAAGTTTGGGGTTTTGAGAATTTGAAAATTATTGAACAGATGCATTTAAAATATTGCAAACGAATTTTAAAAGTTCGAAATACTACACCCAATTTTATGGTGTATGGAGAATTGGGAAGATTTCCTCTGCAAATTCGAGTTAAATGTAGAATGATTTCGTATTGGTGTAAAGTTGTAAACAATAGCAGTAAACTTAGTAGTGCTTTGTACAGGCTGATGTTATCATTGAAGAATCATGGTTATTATGCTTTCAAATGGATTGATTCTGTAGAATCAATATTTAACAACACTGGTCTAGGATACATTTTCATGAATCAAATTGGCGTTTGTGATAAAAATTATCTCGACCGAATATTGAGTGATCAGTTTATTACCTCATGGTTTGGCGATTTAGAAAATTCATCTCGGGGACAATTTTATGGGACATTTAAAAAGGACTTTGGATTAGAAAAATATCTGATCAGACTATCTGAACAGAACAGAGGGTGGGTAACTAAATTAAGGACATCGAACTTACGTATTCCAATCGAGACAGGCCGTTGGCAAAATATACCTAGACCAGAGAGAATATGTTCTTTATGTCATAAATTTGTTGGTGATGAATTTCATATTTTATTTGTATGTCAACATGATTCTATTGTTAATTATAGAAACCAATACTTACCTAGATATTATACTATTAATCCGCAATACATTAAAATGGAAGGATTATTGTCCATATGTAATATGGAAGTCTACAAACGACTATCATTTTTTATTAAGAAAATTGCTTGTTTATTCTAAAATATTTACAAATGTAATTCTATGTGTTCAAATAGTACTGCATGCTCAATTCGTCATTCAATTGTTTATGTATTATACTTTGACCTCATGTTACACATTTATGTGTCTGGGCGTTATCAATAAATCTTGAAATCTTGAATCTTGACATTATATTTGTCGATATTTTTTACCGAGCGTTAGCGCATTATATTTGTCGATATTTTACACCGAGCGATAGCGAGGTGTAAAGTATTATCAAATATAATGCCTACCCATGTTAAAATGAGCATAGAGCATGACATGAAGAATCATTTCGATTCTAATAGGACAAAATGGTATTTTTATAGGTCGAAGCATACGTAAATGCCCGTTATAAGAACGGCCTATTTTCACAAAAAATAAAAAAAAATAACCTGCATATACAAAATTAACAAAATTAAAATCTTTATTTTGCCAATGTTTTATTATGTAAATTCCTAATTCACTGAAAGTGAGCAGAAATAGATAAAGTTACTTACATTTTCACTATTTCATGTAACAAAATTAGTTTTGAGTACTGGTTGTAGTTTGATTAGCCCCTAATTACTTTAGGTTTTATAACATGTAATACGTTTAAATATTATTCAACCTTTGTTACTTTTTTCATACTGAAATTTTATACAATAAATTTCAAACTATTTTGGCATACTACAGGTTGAATTTAGGGTTGAATCCAGGATTTTGGAAAAGGTTAATTGGCGTAATTGCCGAAAACGGAATTGCCAGGGCAAGCGAGTCAAAACAAAATTTGGGACGATTTTATGCTAAGACATGATATATGTCCACCTTTAATCCTCCACTGAAATGTACCAAACAAACAAGGCTGATACCTGCAATATTTTCGTCAATGACAACAATTATGATCTCCCATTCATTTGACGGGTGTCTTAAATCAAGGAGGTTATATAAGCTTAAATCTACAACGGCAAGTTTGCTTATGCTATCAGTACTCAATTCTCATAACTAATAACCTAACAGCCAAGTTGAGTCATAAAATTGCAGAAGGACTTTCTTCTAACAAAACGTATTTAACAGAACGAATAATAAAATTTAGCATTAGTTTTAATTGAAATAATTATTTATCTGAAAGTGTCAATAAAATCAAATTAACTCACGAGTTCATGAGAGCCCAGACCGTCACCAATATTACCATTGCTTTAAGTAAGTGAACGTTATTACTTCCACATGTACCATTGAAGATGTTATAGATTATTCTTACCGTCATGCTCCCTACTATAGTCGCTGGATTTTGACATACCATCTTGTGTTGCGACTGATCTAGTTCTGCTCTGTTCTAAATAAGTGTTGTTGTCAGTCTGAATGTTGTCTTCAGTATCCGTATCGGCACATAAATCAGATTCATCAGCGTTAACATTAACACCAGTTTGTTCATTATTATCTATTATCTCTTTTGTGTTACCAAATCTTAAGTTTTCTTCTTCCTTGTTTATAATGTCCATTTGCTTCCAAAAGATATTTCATCAAATAAATTATGATACGGCATGACTCTGTTTAGTATAATATTCAGCTATTAGACAACATTTCCATTTCTGTAGCACTTGTGTGTACGTGTATTCTGTATATAGACCCATATGGAAGCAATTGCATTCGATAGATAAATAGATCCACAAATTTCCTAATGTATACTATAAATTGAGTCATTTTTAAAAATAAAAACCACAGTGAAAATCCCAATCGTCGATGTTATTTAAAAAGTCTATTGTTATGAAAATGAACCATAATTAAAATTATACGTTGTTCTAGGGTAAGTAAATTTTACAGTTCGAATTCAAATTCAATAGGATTAAACAGTTTTTTTTTCAGAAAATGTGTACGCTAAAATTTGTCGCATGTAGTTACTGAAGAAAAACTATGATTATATAAAAAATATGGAATGAATGGATTTCTTAATATGAGAAGGAAAAAATATATTTTTCAGTTATACCATATAAGAAATTAACACTGTGAAAATGTTCATTTCAGGTTGAAAAAATTTGACTTTCACAGTCATCATAATATTTGTAAACTATAATTTAATGAACTATTGTTAAATATTACAGTTGTAAGTATATAGGCTTTCTCATAAAAACTCCACTGTGTTCTATAAGGACTTTTTTGGACGTGCATTATTTAAGGTTTGAGCATCAAAAGTCTGTGCGTTTGAGCTTAATAAAAAAAAACATCAATTCCCTGTTCCCTTACTTTAGGTCTTGTCAAATGTGTGTAGGAATTAATAATATATCAAATTCGTTCCAAGTAACCAAGGATTTGTATAGTTCTTAATTACTATATATATACAAATCCTTGAAGTAACTAAACAAACAAAACTATGTGTTTTTAATTATATTGTATGTGTATATTTAGTATAGCTTTCCTTTATTTTCAAACAAAGACATAGCTATAAAAATTCTATTAATAGCATGGGGTTTCCCATTACCTACTCCAAATATACATACAAAAATCCACTCATTTATTTTTAGAATGAGGAAAATTTTCATTTGAAGGACAAACTGGATGAGTCGCAATATAGAATTTATAAATTTCTGATCAAACTGTAAGGGAGGAAAGTTTTACGAATTGTAAGTAGACAAATTTGTTTCTTAAAAACATTCAGTAATCGAAGATTATTACTAACACGTTGATTACGAAGAAATGTATAATTTAAAAGTGTATAGATCTACGTCACTATCACATAATTTACAGTGGAATTGTTTGTAATATTATATATATACCTATACTTTCTTCATTATCAGAGTGAAAAAAATGTTCGTTTACAGCTAGGCAACAAAGGTATACATTTGCTTACAATTTTAAGGCTTGTCAGGGCTTGACTTTAAAAGGGTTTATAAAAGTGATTAATATTCGCCATTTTGTTTTGAATATCTTGCCAAACATCTATTTATAGAATTTGTTTTGTCATAAACTTTTCACAGATTTCACAGCCTACGAAAGATCACACAATGACTTCTAATCTTTTAATACTGTGAATGTATTTATTGATTATTAAAATTTGTCCATACATAAGTCATGTAAGTTATCCGTCACTAAAACATGTAGAAATAATGAGTAATAAATAACTTTGTGGGTAAGTCCACCTCCTCGGCAGAGATTGAATTATACCAGAGACTTAAATACACATGTGTATAGAATAGAAGAGATATTTTTATTTCCCAAATTATAGGGCCCATAAAGGGCATAAAATTAGTGACAATTGATTGACATAATTGATAATTACAACAATAAACATTACAGTGTACATGTAAATGTATATTTAGTATATGAACATTATATGTGTATATATGTCTCTGATTATACATTTATGTATACAGGTATATCAATTATATGCAACAATATTTTCCTTTTTAATAATAATGGAGAGGAGATAGATATATATATATATATATATATATATATATATATATATATATATATTAATATAAATAATAAAGAAAGTAGACGTATTTACATAAAATATTAATAAAATGTGTTTGTGTGTTTCTGTATTTAAAAATAGAATATAGAATAGAATATTCAAATTACAGGCCCAATAAAGAGCATATAAATCAGATACAATGATTGAAGTAATTGAGTCAATAATAAGACATTACAATACAATATATATATCACAATAAGCCTCGGTCAGAATCAGAGCCAAAAATCCAGAATAAATTAAAAATGGAAGGAAAATAACACATTGATATTAAATACCAGTCAATCAAGACCTGTTCTTCTTACGTCAAAAGAACTATCCATAAAATTACATGTTTTTCTATAATTGACTTTGTAAAGTTTTCTTGTGTTAACCAAACAAATTTGGAAGATTCATTTAAATTATCAAACTTCTGACAAGTGCTAGAAATATATAATGAAAGAGTTTGTGCATCTTTTAAATTATTATATAATGAACATTCAATTAAGAAGTGACGCTCATCCTCTATTTATCAGCTGTGCAATTTAAACAGAAGCACTCAGATCTATCAATACTATCTTTTGAATATCTGGCAATTTCAATTCTTAATGGGTGAGCACTGATTCTTGATTTACATATAGACTGTCTTTTTTTTTATATGTATTATATATCTAAATATTTCTCTTTTTAAAAACAATGTATAATCTAATGTTTATTGTTTTACTTTGTAATTTTGGATTTAAAACCATGGAAATCCTTTTTAAATTACAAAATGTAATTAATAAGCTAACCACATTATCATATCAAGTACTACATGAAAATAAAAACATACAAAATATTATAAAGAAATCAAAAATACAATTTCTTATCCGTAGAATGGCCAAAAATTTCAATGACGGACGTGTAGGGCATACATCCCTTTAAAATTTGAAAAATATTATTTTTGGCAAAAAAAACATAAATAATTGACTCGTTTCGTACTGCGAAATGCTCTCTAACCTCAGACCGTACACCATCCCCCAATAACACGAGACCATGAATGCACTATATTGCATTCGACATGTTGATAAATTATTGATAATTAACTTTGAAATAGGATGACATATTGAAAGTGTTTGCAAGTCATAGAGGACAATTTAAAGAAAAAGAATTGCAATTGCTATATCAAGCATGAGGTGCGTATTACTTAAAGAATGATGTCAAATAAAGTTTAAACAAATATATTTGTTGAGAAGATCTGATGTTTTAAAAGTACGATTATGTATGGGAGTTGAATAACATTCAAAATTCACGCTGCTAATAAAAATATTCTTTTTCAGTTAAAATGTCAGACATTGAAATAGACAGTCTACCTCCGGGTAGCCAACTGAATGACTTCAGTGGTTCGCATCCTTCTATTCAGCGAAGTTATCAACAGCGTTCACTATATCCTGATGGTCTTTCAAGAGATAACTTTGCCTTTAGTGGGGACGATTCTAGACAAGTGTTTCATCCAAGTGATAGTTCAATGCCAAGTGAAAGAACTATATTTACTGGGACTAATGGAAGTTCTCGCAATGTATGTGGAAATTCAATAAATGTGATAGCTAATTCTAGTCCTGGATATAATGTTTCGTACAGACAAACTTTAGGCAACAATGATACAAATTCTGGATATAATTTTTCGTACAGACAAACTTCAAGCAACAATGATATAAATTCTGGATATAATTTTTCACATCGACCTAACTCTGGCGACAATGATTGTGGATATAATTTTTCACATCGACATAACGCGAGCGACACTGATAATTCTGGATATAATTTTTCACACAGAAACGAAGCTGACAGAACAAATAGTCTCAACAATCAGTCTATTGTGCATTCTGATAATGGACATAATATTTTTTCAAATAGCGAAACTTCAGTGCCTGAAATTAGTAATCTTTCAATAAATGAATCAGATTCAAGTTTTGTGTTCAACAGACCCCAATCGCACGTGAATACCAGGCACAACCAACAACGTGCACAGATTAAACTAGAAAACTCTAAATACGCTAATTATAGGAATGAGGCACAGAGAATTCAATCATATGCCTTTTCAACAGCTCCTGTGAGAAGTCCTCAAATCATGAGTGATGCTGGATTTTTTGCAATAAGTAAGTGCATTGTGTTGTATAATACCTTCTGTGAATGGCTGTAACAAAGTTATCACAACATAGCGCAAGTGTGGGAAATTTAACAGTATTTACGCAATATAGTCAAAATCGGATAAAAAACTAGAAACACCACAGATTTTTCTGTTAAATTTATTTTCACTTTTTATTGACTTGGATCGATTTAGAGCTTGTCATACTGTATGGACACCTGTCTTGTTTATGACTGGAAGTTGCCCTCTAGATACATCTTCTGGTTATTTCTGAGTTGTTGTCTCTTTAACGTTTACCCTATATCTATTTTTATTCGTATAAGTGACTGAAACTTCAACCTGTTATATTGATTTCTCTTAAATGTATTGTAAACGGAATCACTTGGAAATCCCAAATATATTTAAATTAACGGTAATACCAAAAGCCGGAAATCGAAAATGGAAAACAAAAGATTATTTTTAACAACATAATTTTTACCAGATAAATAAAGTACGATGATATTGTAAGGGCCCAATGAGGGCATGGTTTAACGTGACAACATGGGCATATAGCAGTACAAATCAAATCAAATTATTTTATTTCCTAATTACGGAAAACACGGAGAGAGCGAAACAATCTAATTAAAATTAAATCTCCGCACTTGCTCCTCGTTGTTTATATATGTCGCGCTCCCACGCGCGACATATAAACAACGAGGAGCAAGTGCGGAGATTTAATTTTAATTAGATTGAGAGCGAAATACATTTTCATTTTTATCAACAAAAGAGAATTTTATCAAAAATATTGTTTACCTGTCTTTGAATAGCAACTTAATAAAATATGGCTGTGTTTGCATTGATTATTGCTTGCTTACCATCCAGTGGCATATATTTCGTGCATCATGTACATTGTTTATTATCTATTGTTAAGGTTGTCGTTTCGATATACATGTAGCCCCTCTATTTCTATTTTTTCCATCTTTTTGTATATGCAAAATACAAACAATAAATCAATCTATTTTGCTAGGTAACCAAGATTTTGTACGTTGTTTTCACTGCGGTATTGGGTTACGGAATTGGGAGGATGATGACGACCCTTACGTCGAACACTGTCGATGGTCTCCCAATTGTCAGTACATGAAGCTAAAGAAAGGACAAGCTTTTATTGATGCTGTACAGGAGGCTGTAAGGAAAGTGCAGTTGGTATGTATATATAGTGCTGAAAAGTTTATTTAATCTGCATTGCTTTAATATATGAGAAATTTCTATCCATAGGAATTCTAACCAATCGTCATCGTTTTCACTGTTCTTAATCACTCCTGGAACGGCTGGAACTTGCTTAAGCATACAAAGTAAATAATTCCATCTTGCATGCTGGTAAAAGTACTAGTATTTCAGGTTTAAACATCTTATATAAAAGTGTATTCTAATAAACAGGATTTCAGAAAAACTTGCAAGCACAATATTACTCAGGTTATCTAACTTTAACAATAATTCTAAACTAATTTTGTAAAGTTGCCTAAAATCACAGGCATTTTGTGCATGAATCACTCTTTTTTTGTTTAAGAAATTTTCTTTTCTATATATCAGTAGTTTATTTATTGCCCCTCTATTCTGTTAACATTAAATAAGTGAAAACAAGTTTTAAAGTTAATGAATATAGATCAATATTTACCAAAATAAATTTAATCACCAAAAAATAGGAAAAGTAAAATAACTGTACCACCATAGACAAGGTACAGTTGAGAAAAATTTGTGTACATACAATGTATATATGATTTCAGGAAGAAGCTTTAGGTCAGTCAGACACAAGAGATGGTGCTCAAGCAGATGGAACTGTTACATATTCAGGTCAGTTTAGATGACAAGATTTTCCATCCAATATAAACAAAATAATATGCATTATATCTGAAACCTGTGCTAAATGAAATATTTATTATAAATGCCTTTTTATATTAAGTTGAGAAATGTGTATAAATGACTTTTTTTACTGAATTGAAAAATAGAATATTTATAAAATTTCAGATATAGCAGAAGATGGAGTAAACAATGAATCATATCCACCATCTGTTTTAAAGAAGAACCCACTTCTATCTAGTGCTGCCCAGAGTGTTATAGAAATGGGCTACTTACCACGCATTGTAAAGAAAGCTGTAGATAACATTATAAAAGAACATGGTATGTTATTATATTGAATGGGCTTCTGTACTAATGTATCCACCAGAGTCCTAATGATGTTGATTCTATAGGTCACCATACCATATGACCTTTCGCAATGAGCAAAGCCAATACCATATAGTTAGCTATAAAAGGCTTTTATACGACAAAATGGGATACAATATTTAAACAAGAAAACCAACTACCTGATTTATGACAAAACAATAATTGAAAAAGAAATATGACGGACAGCAACCAATCAAAACCACTGACACGACTGAATTACTTGGGATTGCCACAAAAAGAATGTGACAGGGTTTAAAACATGTTTGTGATCCTCAACCCTCACCTAACCTTGGACAGTGATGTAACAGCAAATTATAAGAAAAAAACTGTAAAAATAAGTTGGAAATGGCTTGACTCATCAGATAAGCATGAAAAACAAAAAAAAAGTAACACAAAAACAAAAGAAACAAAGTACCCATCTAAGAGTACTCACAGTAACTGAAAGCTAGTTCAAAGCCAATTACAAGTAATGAATAAATCATAAAATATCAATCAGTACACAATCAATAGATTTAGTGTAAAGAGGTCATATACAGTTTATTGAGAAAAGCTTTGACCTTGTGCAATGCCAAAATATAATTATATACATATAGCATCCACAGGATATTGGACAATAGGTTTTCATTACTGTATAGCAATAAATATTCAGTTATGTTTTAACCAATAACAAAATCAATGTTAGTACTGATAAAAGCAATTTTAAAAAGTCTTACTACAGTGTCAAAGTCAAACTGATAACCTTGAAAAATTCAAAGGATCACTGAGTTTACATGGATCGTATCTCAAGTTACGGGCTCTATAAACAACATCACTGTAAAAATTAGGATGTGATGTCCTGTTTGTAATAAGAATTCTACAGTTACAGCCAAACCTTCAAACCAAATCTTAGTATCTAGAAAAGAATTTAGTAAAATTTAATGGTTGTTTATTGAATGCTTTGCTCTAAGAATAATTGAAAAAATATGAGATTATTTTACTAAGGGTATTTTTATTACTTTATAGGTTTGGACGGTTTAACTGGACAAAGAATTGCAAACTTGGTTATGGATATGGAGGCAAAAGGAGAAAAAGTAATGATACCAACACAACAAGTTTCTGAACCTAACATGGACAAATCCAAGATAAATGAAGGTAAATTGGGAAAAAAAAGAAAATAATTAAACGAAAGCCAGGGGCGGATTCAAGCGTGGGCGTGGTGGGCATGCCCCCCCCCCCCCTAAAATTTGCAAAGCATCAAAAAAAAAATTCGAAAATTTATGTTTGCGCCCCCTAACCTAAAATCCTGGATCCGCCCCTGAAAGCAGTGGAAATATTGAATGTACAAAGCATTAATATCCATATCTAAATTATTTCTAATTTGTTAAATGTAGTAAAGAATAATCTTAGAAACAACAAAACAGAATTGAAAATTAACTCAGAAGAAAGAGTTTCAGTGTGTCTGACTAAAACTTACAGGGAACTACACAGTTATAAAAGAAGTTTTAGACTGCAAGCAATTAAAAAGGGAGACAATAGCTTCGCCCTTAAGAACAAACATAAGCAAAAGTTTATTATCAAGTGTTATAGACTAGGTGAACATAGGAATAATTCCTTGTATGTAAAAGCTTAATACCATATATCCTTAAAATTTCAAGTTACAGGTTTACATAAATAAGTCTTGTGTATGTTAGAAGTGGAATTTTTTTGTTTTACAGAAGCTAAACGTAAACTTGAAGAACAGAATAGAGAATATAAAGAGAAGATATCTTGTGTGATATGTTGTGAGAACGAAAGATCAATTACATTTCTACCATGTGGACATTTAGTTTGTTGTGCTCAGTGTGCACCTGCATGTTCCTCATGTGCGGTGTGCAGAAAAGAAATTAAAGGAACAGTTAAAGTTAGTCTTAGATAAAAAGTACAAATGGCTTAAATAAAATAAAATATTTATTTTCTAAATCCATAAATTTATGAAATTAATAGTATTACTACTTTAATAAACAGTTTTGATGTTTAAAACAATTTATAATTACATAAACTGTTAGCATAATCCACTTGTTTTTTAATTTTTATTTTTTGCTCACCTGGCCCAAAGAGCCAGGTGAGCTTTTCTTATCACTTGAGGTCAGTTGTCCGTAGTATTCCATTAACTTTTACAATACTGGACCAAATTTAACCAAACTTGTCCACAATCATCATTGGGTGATATGTTTGAAAAAAATGTGACTTTTGTCTGATGCTTAATAATATAAAAAACGATCTTTATTTATATAAAATTTATAAAATATGTAATATTATTATATGTCTGTCTGTAAATAAATGTGAACAGAACTAATTTTATAGGATCTCATAAAAAACTTGACTGGTTATATTAAGCAGTTGTTTATTAAGCATAGGAAATGTGTAATAGATAAATTAATGACTTTTGATTATTTCATATTGATTATCATGATTATTAGGTTTTATTTGTCAGTGTGTATTCAACTTTATAAATCATTTGTAATTAGCCTTATAAAACATAAGCATGACAATAAATAAATTATTTTACTTCATGTGTTCATTGTGTACTGCATTGTATTGTTTATTTATTATACCCCATGCAATTTATTGTGTCGGGTATAATGTTTTTGACCCATCCGTCTGTCCGTTCTTCTGTCTGTCCGTCTGTCAGTCCTGTTCTTGTCATCGCAACTCCTCTGAAACCACACCTCAGAAATTCATGAAACTTTGTAGATAATAAGGACATACTATGTAGATGTGCATATCGACAGGAAATTATGATTCAATTTTTTTTTCTAGGAGTTCTGCCCCTTTGCACTTATTGGCCTCAATATACTACTGCACAGTTTGTCATCGCAACTCCTCTGAAACCACACAACAGAATTTCATGAAACTTTGTAGTTAATGAGGACATAATATGTTAATGTGTATATCCACAAGAAAATTTCTATCAGTTGAATTTTGTAGAGTTATGAGTCTTTGAACTTAGGAATCTGGTGAGATTTTGTTTGTCCAGTGACAATGTGGGGGCGTGGGTATGTGAGCGTGCTCACAAAGGTTCTTTAATTTGAATAGAGTTGTTTAATGAACAGATAAGTTATCTGAAATGTATTTAATAAAATTGAGAATGGAAATGGGGAATGTGTCAAAGAGACAATAACCCGACCAAAGAGCAGAAAACAGCCGAAGGCCACCAATGGATCTTCAACACAGCGAGAAAATCCTGCACCCGGAGGCAGGCTTCAGCTGGCCCCTAAACAAAAATGTGTACTAGTTCAGTGAAAATGGACGCCACACTAAACTCCGAAACATATAAATGAACTAAAATTTAAAAAATCATACAAGACTAACAAAGGCCAGAGGCTCCTGACTTGGGACAGGCGCAAAATTCTGCGGGGTTAAACATGTTTTGTGAAATCTCAACCCTCCCCTATACCTCTAGCCAATGTAGAATAAACAAACACACAGCAATACGCAGAGTAAAACTCAGTTTAAAAGAAGTCCGATGTCAGAAAAGGCAACAGAAGAAACTAAGCAAAATGACAATGATACATAAAAGATTGGATGTGAAATACCTGAACGTATAAGATGTCTGCATGTTGATTTATATTTACGAATGATGTCCTTGTACCGATGATAAAATTTAGTAAATGTTTTGACTAGTTTGTGATATCGAAAACCCTGGTGTAATAATTTTTAAGTAAAACTCTATTGCTATGTAGACTATGCAGAAACACAAACCATCTGAAAATCTTGGGTGAATAATATGATATATGTATTACAAATGTTAACGCACTTTCTACTACCTTAGACATATTTTGCATATAGATAGATGGAAATATGGGGTATACGTCTTTGGGACAGCTACCCAATGACAAAAACAGCCAGAAGACATTAAGAGGCATACATACATTTTAACAATAATCAGGTGTCTATACAATTATATGTTAAGCTCTAAACCATACAGAGTTTATAAAAGTTGTAATTAAATCAAACAAACAAAAATCAAAAGATATGCATCAACAACAAATTTCCAAATAACGAAAAATAAAGATTATATGACATATTAAAAAAACCATACAGACATGACATATTAAAGAAAAGTCATATAGACATACTATATTAAAAAGCCATAAAGACATGTCATATTGAATAAATTTCTTCGCCGAGCGCAGCTGGATACGACCGTGAGGTCCAACCCTGAACAGTTGGGGCAAAAATGGACACAATTTTCGCGCTTGATACAGGTCTGAATTTGGATTGTAATTAAATATTTGACACATAATAGGTTTCTGACACAGAATAACTGTAGTCAAAGAACTTAGAATTGGTTATATGATTTGAATTTATATTCAATTTTTTGATTTACACAACATTTAGAAAAAAGGAGAGATTTTTATTTTACTGTCATTACAAATTTCAGGAGTGAGCAAGCCAGAACATGAATATATATGTTTTTTATTTCCTCTTAATGTTTTCATATTCAAATACTATGAGTGCTTGGATTTCTAATACATTGTTGAAAAAGACCTCTTTTATCTCACTCGCTCTTTCTAATGAGAGATAACTCAAACGATTTTTTTTACTCTCGTGGAAATCTTAATTATTTCATAATTTCCATAATTTTCCAGGATTAAAAAACACCAGAACAAATGTGTGCATTCCTTCGTTTAGACATTTGTTCAATACTTATTGACATGAGCCTTGTACAAAGTGTTCATGCATAGTGAAATATTAAAAATAATAGTTATGAATAAACTGGTTCATTTATTTATTTATTGACACATTATATTTGATATCCCATCCAGTTTTCACTATTTGCACTATTTGAAGTAATTTTAAACTACATTCCTAATTCTATTAACTTTTTGGAATATTTTCTTACATTTTTTACTATATCACAGTATTCTGTTAAATTTCCCCTGATATATATCCCAATTAAACAGACACAGAGTCTGTTTATATTAGAACAAGAATTTTGTTATTTTTTATCATATCCAATATCACATTCAAAATAATTATCCTCACTCTACAACTTTTTGAAATATTTTATTTATATTTTTCACTATATCACTTGATTTTACTATATCCACAGTATTCAGTTTTTATTTCATTTCCCGTGATATATGTCCCAATTTAATAATAGTAGATCCAGAATTTTATAATGATTATTTCCAATATCACATTAAAAATTGTTATCCTCGCGTAATGAATTTTTTGGAATATTTTACTTTTATTATTCACTTTATCACTTAAGGGCATACGTAACAGTTTTGATCCCACGGGGATTTTTTTACGAAAATTTGCATACAAGCTATTTTTCACCTAGTCAATGCAAATATGTAATAAAAATATACCTGCATGTGCTACTTTAAGAGATAAATGGGGTCGAAATAGACATTTACTCAAAATTTCGTTTTTTTGGAACATTTCTATCCTTTGGATAGACATACCTAACTTTTTTGTTTCAAAAGATAAACACAATAGGATTTTTGTAAAAGCATTTCGAAAATCTGTCTTACATAAGTATGCTCTAAATTTTTATAACAATTCTTAGGAAATAATTAATTTTTATCAAAGTTTCAGGATTTTAGGAAAAAAACGGAAATTTTTGCTGTATACTTATCTAATTTTAAAAAATCTCATCGGTGACTTTTTCATAAAAATTGGTACAAATAATCTTCATACGTAATCAATACTAATGTCATTTTAAGAAAGAGGGGTCTATGAACTCGTTTTCAAGTTATATCAGTCTGAATGATAAAAATAAGTCGATAAATGCATCTTTTCCCGATAAGTCGCAGTTTGACGTCGCGAAAAATAACATTTTACGTTGGCAACGTCATTACCTGCCCTGCAACTGTATCGTATGCCCTTTAAATTTGACTATATCCACTGTATTCGCACTTTATTTCATTTCCATGATATATATTCCATTTAGACAGGTGAATCATCTTCATACTAGATCCAGAATTTTATAATGATTATTTCCAAAATCACATTTAAACATTTAAAAACACAGAAACATGTTGGTTGAACTTATTTCTCCTACTTGCATTCAAGCTTTGAATGTTTTACTTAATTTTTAGATTAACCAAGGATTTGTATAGTATATACTTTACAAATCCTTGGATTAACTAAATCCCATCTTATAAAAAGTGAATTTCCTTGAGTGAACACAGTATTTTTATGCACAAAAATCCTAATAGATTTCAAAGAAAAACACTGCAAGTATACTCCAAAATTATTTTGGCTTTTACATGTACATCATCATGTGAAAGCCACACAAAACATTTTGGATGAATTATTTCCTCCTTGATACATTCATGACAATACATTCAAAGTCAAGTCTCATCAGAAACAGTCACATTTTAAGAAGCAAAATTAAATGCACATAAGAATCGAATTCAAATAAAATAAATCCCAACATTTTATGCAATTTGATTTCAATACATTTCAAACACTGCGAATAAAAATCCAAAATGAAAAATTTGAGGGATATATGAAGAAACACATTACATATCCATCTGAAAACTGAAACTGAAAACACCTGAATAGCTATTTCTTGTTTCACTGACAACTGGACAATACTATGTATAAGGGTTAAAAATTTAAAGATACATTTATTATGTAAAAACAGTTTTAATTTTCATACATATTAAAATGCAGTTCCGAAAATCGTGGACTGATTAAGATTATTGGGTCAAAATTAGATTAATCATCTATATTGGGGGCTTAAAAAAATGAAAACTAATAATATTTTCTTCCCTATCAATTTTATAATAGAATAACCTTATGAGAAGAAAAAAGCATGCTGTAAGGAACCCTATCTAATTAGACTTAGAAAAATTAGTAGACTTTATATTTGCAAACTTCGCACTTGCAATATCAAATTTCCTATCGAAATGGGGAGATGGAATATAATTCCAGAAATTGAAAGAAAATGTAAGCTTTGTAAGACTGGTCTTGAAGATGAGTATCATTACATAGCGCTTTGTAACAATGCTGATGTTATTGAAGTAAGAAATGCATATATTCTTAATTACTACAGAATCAACCCAAATATCAACAAACTATATGGATTAACTAACCTTTCTATTTTCATTCAAAAGGTTGAAAAACAACTGCCATCTCTGTAAATCATCACATATGAATATATTTATATATGTTACATTTTTTGTTACTATCCATTATCATTTTATTGTGTTCATGTGATCACGTGGTTATTTAAACTTTACAGATTGCACGGACTTTTTGCGATCTGGTCAATAGATGTAGTATACATTTAGTTTTATAAATTTATAAAAAAATATTTATACTGTTTCATTTTATGTATTCTACTCATTTCGCTTCTATGTTATTTGTAGATTTATGTGTATTTGTCGCTCCTGATACGAAGGAAATCTGCGCTTGAGTGTATTTTGAAAAACAGTTCAAACAGTTAAGGTTGGGTTAGGTGATTAAAAATCAGTACACGTAGCATCAAGGTAGACTCAACTCTAACAATACCAACTGGTCAATTTAAATGTCCAAATTGTAAATAGGTAACGTTAAAC